CGTGCCATGGATGCAAGTCACTAGAAAATTGGGCTCAAATCACGTTATTCCGATAAAGGTATTTTGGGGGAAAAACTAGTCGGAGAAATAGGGGAACAAAAATGGAAAGGCTCTTAATAAACAAAATGAAAATATTGATATTCCAAGTCCACAAACCCATTCCAAAAATCCTCAAAGCCAACCAACGGAAAACATGGGGAGATAAATTAGGAACATATGATGGCAGAGAATTGGGTGACGCAAAGAAAGGAAAGGAAACATTGATGGGTAAGGTGGCAGAATCAAGGGTGACACATCAAATGAATTTTAGACCTCGTCCTCAACAATAACCCCATAAAAGAAAACTGGGTTCAAGCCCACCGATAGTAGCTTTGCCGCCCTCACAACCAAGACTACGAAAATGACTCCAACGTGATTTTTAGCATAGCACACCCCTGTCAATTTGCTTGATTCTGAACTCTAAGTGCCCACCAGTTCTACTATGGACTCAAGGTCATTCTCCTCTTCTAATCCTACAACCCAGACCACTACTCCTCCCACCCTCACTCTTACTATGACCAATGAGAATGAGTCCTATATCCAAATAGATCAAGTTCCCTCCCCCACCCACGAAGCTCGTTTTCTCCATCCAGCTCGTGTCAGATTGTTCCTAAAACATCACATTGAAAAAAATCCGAAAAGACTCGTCCTCCCAATGAGCATCCATGCCTCCCCCCTTAGACTGCTCAATGCCTACTTTGGCATACTCGTAGTGACTGAAGCAAACTTGTTGAGCCACCATGGCTCCTCACTGAAGACTTTAACTCCATTCTTTCTCCGGAAGAGAAGTCAGGGCCCTCAACGCCTGATACCTTGTGATATTGTAAAATCTTCAACGAATGCATTAACTGCACAGAGCTGGTTTATGTGGGTTTCTCGAGGCCTTTCTTTCCCTGGGAAAGAGGAGACCATCATACTACTTATAAAGTGCAGTCGGCTAGATAGAATCTTCTATTACTCGGATTGGAATCTCCCCTTTCCCAACACATCTGTTCTCCATCTCTCGCGCATTCATTCTAATCATCATCCAATTCTTACTATGATCATGGATCAAGGAGCTTCCTCTAATATCCCTACTCATTTTTCTCCTCATAAATTTAAATTTGAAGCTGACTTGCTTACTCACGTTTATTTCATGACTTTCTTGGCAGACTCCTGGGACATCGCCCCCTACCTGGCACTCTTAAGGATTTGTCAACCAAACTTCAAGATTGGAACTCTAATGTATTTGGCAATATCCAGTAGAAGAAGCAAACTCCCATTTTCCGCATTCGAAGAATTGAATCAAGGTTGTCCACTTCCTTCTCATCAGGCATTGCCAAGCTTCATTCTAAACTAGATTCCAAGCTTGATAAGGTTTTAGAGAAAGAAGAAATTCTTTGGTTCTAGCGTGCTCGAGAGAAATATGCTCGAGGATGCTTTTCCTCGACTCTCTTTGGAATAGTGGACTCTACTCCTCCATCCTTTCACCCTCGTTGATATTCACAAGACAGATTTTGAGATGAAGCCACCACAAGTTTTCGGACCTGATGGATTTTAAGATATTTTTTTACCAACATGCTTGGGCTACGGTATGAAAGGGTCTCACTAAGATGGCGATGAATTTCTTATAAAATGGGTCACTCCTAGAAGCTATTCATATTCAAATGTTATTTTGATTCCCAAAGTAGACCACCTAGAAAGTGTGACGCAACTTCGCCCAATCTCCTTCAATAATGTCAAAGCCATTACCAAGGCTATGACTAGCAGGTTGAAGTCGATCATGAGTAAGCTTGTGTCACTCAGACATAGCAACTTCATTCCCGACTGCAAAACTACATACAACACTATTATTGTGCAAGAAGTGTTTCGCTCTCCAATGATTAAAAAGGGGAAGCAGGGTGGTCTAGAACTGAATATATACCTAAAAGGGGCTTATGATAGGCTGCAATGGTAATTCTTACGAGATACTCTGAAGGAAATGAGCCTCTCAGGCTCTTGGATCAACAACATTTTGTGTTGTGTAGAGAATAACCAGATGAGGCTACTGTGGAATTGAGAGCTATCCCAATAGATCACTCCTACACGAGGTGTCAGACAGGGAGATGGTGTAACTCAGGCAATTCACGATAAACAATGGAAACCCATAAAATTATCTCAAATGGTCCGACTCTTTCATATTTTTTTGTAGATGGTGCTTTTTGCATAGGTTGAGCTTTCTCAAATTGAATCTTCAAAAAGTGCCTACATGATTTTTGTGGAGGCTCATGACAAAGACTTAACTTTTCTAAGTCATCTATGTTCGTTTCCTTAAACATCTCTAGGCAAAGCGCATAAAGACTAAGTTGACAAATTGACAATCCTTTGACGGCAGATCTGGGATGATACCTCGAGGTATTTGAGACATTCTAAGCTGACACTCTTAGCCAAGGGATGTTGGCAATTTCTGAAGGAGAAAGACAACCTATGGACACAACTTGTCTGTAACAAATATGACCGATGAGGGAAAACATTTACATCATTAAGCATATTCTAGAAAGTTCCTTTGTCTGGTGTAGTTTCTCTAAAACTGTGAACTTTTTCGGAAGGGTTTCAGCTGACACATAGATAATGGATGTAAGACTAAATTATGGTCGGGTTTGTGGGTTTGCACGTTCCTCTATCTGAAGTCGTCTCAAGCCCGATTTCTTAAGCAATGAAGATAGATACTATTGCCCAGTACCTTGACAACAATGGTGGATGGCTTCTCCATAGTTTTTCCACCTTCTCCCTCACGAAATTCAAGCGAAGATCACTGCAATTGCAATTGACCCTCTCCTTACTAAGACGATGTGACCCTAACTTCCGAGTCTCGCTTGATAAAGAGAGCTCAAGCTCTAGGTGGTACTTCACCCAGTTCGATGTTGATTTGTTTTCGAGATTACACCAATAAAAGCCTACTCCTAATTGAATAAGAAAAAACAACGAAAATGGGTCGACAATCTTCATGGATGACATAGTCAACCCATTATGCATCAATTTCCCTAGGAGAGTTTTGGTATAACACCAAATTTTACTGCACCATATAGATGATCCAATTTTAGGCATTTTACATACGTTGATCAGTGGTTGGTAGAGTAAGATCTGCTCTTGCGTGATTGAAGACCACCATGGAAGCTACTTGTAACAGGAAAAGTAGTTGCCCGAGGTGCTCGAATTCATTCCACCTTATATATCTCTCTTTTAATAAAATTCTATTGAAGAGGTCATTTCAGAGCCGATTTCTCCAAACAATAAAAGTGATTTAAGATTTTTTTTCGTTTGATTAGAATTTTCTTTTTCACTATGTAGGGATTTAGAAGCTAAGTAGCTGGAGTGGAATTCATGAGTATTTTTATTTTATCTTAGAGTTAATAATTTGTTATTGGTGTTTTGGCCAATTTTTTTTTTTTTTGTTATTGGTGTTTTTATTTTGTAGCTCCTTCGTAGATTTCGTGAGAAAAAAATCGGGTTAATTGCATGGTTGGTCACTGAGATTACAAAAAACGTTTATATTTGATCACTCAAAATATTTAAATCCATTTGTGGTCACTAAAATTAGTAAAACAGTCCAAGTTTAGTCACTCTCCATTAGTCTCCGTTAACACTGTCAGTTATTTGGTGATGTGGCTAGCAAATATGCTGATTCACCCTATTTTAACCTGCCAAGTCATAAAACTCAACCCGCCATGTCAGATTATTATTAATCATTTAAAATAAAAAAAATAAATAAACCAACACGGATTCCCATCTCTCTGTCTTCTTCTCTCAACCCCTCTCTGATGGAGAGCAAAAAAAACTCTCATCTTTGGTGCAAGAGCTTCTTCTGGATCTTCTCCTTTTTCTTCCCCATCTCTTCATAATTCCATTCCCTAACCACAACTGCCTAAATCATCTCTTTCTTTCTCCTTAGAGACCGAAACATAAAGAAGAACCAAAACCTTCCAAGCTTCCCCCTTCCTTCATCTCTCAACCCCCGCTAAAGCTTCCTCTTCCTGGCTTCCTTCATCCAACCCCCTGCTAAAGCCTCTCACCCGCCTCTTCTTCTACTCTTTGTTGGAAGGGATCTTCTTAATCCCTCTGCCTCCTTGTTGGATTGGATTATCGGAAATCTGAGGCTGGTGGGCAGCAGGGGATTGGCTAGATCTAGATCGGCGACTGAGGTGGAGAGTAGCAAAAGCGGTTTAATCCAAGAGATGGAAAGACCTTGGAATCCCTCTTTCTCATCATCGATGTCGTCAAAGTCAGACGGTGATGGGGAACCATGGAGGAAGCGGCGAGGGAGAATTCGGAAGTCATGGCCACAGAAGCTTGGGCATGGGAACCATGGAGGTGTAGCGGGGATTCGAATTGACGAGATAAGGAGAGGAGAAGGAACGGAGCAGAGGAGGAGGAGGAGGATCAGGCGAGAGAGATAAAAGCTGGGGGGTGCGATTGTTGCGGCGACCAATTCAAGCACCATCCAGCCCTAGTTGTCGAATGGAATGCAAGAAATATGAAGAACTAGAGAAGATGGTTTTCAGATCTGGAAAGGAAAAAAGGATAAACCCTTATTTTGTTTGAGTGGTCAGATCATGGGTAGGTGGGTCGATTTGATTCAAGGGCTGGGTTGGGATGGACAAAATGACATGGCGGGCCGAATTTCATTATTTTTGGGTTAAATTAGACTGACTAGACGATTTCGTCTGCCACCTCAGCACATAACATTCTTGGTTAACGGAGACAGACAGAGACAAACGGAAAGTGACCAAACTTGAACGATTTTACTAATTTAGTGACCACGAATGGATTTAAATATTTCGAGTGACCAAACATGAACGTTTTTTTGTAATCTCAGTGACCAACCATGCAATTAACCCGAAAAAAATCCAAACCAAAAGCGTGAAACCAGTTTGGAAGGTTCGAAAAATGGGGAAAGGCGAAATGAAATAAGGAAAACAAAAACGGTTATCAAAATAAGGAAAAAAAGAAAAAGAAAAGTTCAACTGCCCAAAAGAAAGCTCTCTCTCTCTCCCTCTCTCCGGCCTGGCTTTTCTGGTCTCGCTCCTGATAACACGTTTCGTACCCAACAAGTCTCTCTCGACCCTCGACCACCGTGCTGGCGGAAATTACAGCAATCGGAGATTCTCCGGCAGTTCACCAGCCCCGTCGATGAAATTCTCCGTCGAATTACGCCAGCAAAATGACCCCTGCGAGCCCTAGACTCTTCCAGGTAATTCAAAATTGGTTCTCGTCGTCTGGTTTCTCTTGCATTACTGCTTGAGGTAGTTTGAAAAGGGAATCCCTTTCCCCTTTTGAGTATCGCCGAATTTAACTTCGAGAATAGTCCAAGTTTAACTTCTCTGCTCGTGTTTCAGTGAAAAGTCCCTTCTATTTAAGAACTGTTTCGGAGGTTTTTGTTTCTCTAAATCTTACTCTCGAGTCCTTTACTTTGTTCCAGGGAGGGGGCTCTTGCTTTGTTTCAGCGTGGGAAGAATCGAAATTCATTGGGAAATTATTTTTAATCAAATCCCTTTTTCCCACTAATAAGAAACTAACTTGTCTAGTTCCTTCTTGTATAACTGGGAAAGCGCAAATCTGACGTGTTAGCTGTTTGGTAATGGATTCTTCCGCTGCAATATCGTCCCTTCTCAACTGAGTTAGTGTAGAAGTTCTTTCCTTTGCTGGGTTTGTAATATGATTAAGAAATAAATTGCCTGATTGTTCTGCTACTGCAGATTTGCTAGGCATTGAGTGGATCCTGTGGGCATGGACCCAGATTTGGAGATAAAAGATCAGATGAAGGTGGGAATGGAGGGCTTGCCTCAGAAAGAGTCTGAAAGTCTTCCCCCACATGGCAATGAAAATTCTGTGCCTTGCACAGATAAACTTGATGACGGATGTTGTCCCAAAGAAGCTTTGCCTGAAAACAAAGCTGAGGTGCAGCAGACAACTGAGGATTTGGAAGTTGATATAGTTAATTGTTCGAATTCTCAAGACGTTGGAGATGTGGAAACTGAAAACGATGACACCAGCGAGAGCATCAGTTCATTCAGCAGCTCGTTTGAGACAGAAAATGACCTTACGTTGACTGATAATGAGGTTGAATCGTATATGTGTCGTGGTGGTCACTCAACTTCATTATTTGATAGCTATGGTGCAGAATCTCAATCTAGGTATTTACTGTTAGAAAGTCTTCGTTCTCTGCTGATACAGTTACAACAGTTGTCAGAAAGGGAAGTATTTTGCATGAGTCACTGTTTTTACATTGTATGCTTTCCTTACTCAGTTCACGTTATTGTGAGATTTACTAAGAATTAGCTGGAGAAAGATACTAGCTTTGTTTCATCATTTTCTGACTACTTTCAAGGAAGTTTCATTTCGATGTGCATATGTTGTCCAAATACATTATAGGGGGATGCTTCTATCATCATGTTGCTATGTTGAAGTTTCGATAAGGGATTTTTCAGTTGCTCTGCTTTGATGCATAATCTTGGTTAGTTTGCATCAAAACTTGATATTGCCACTTGGATTTATGTTTTCATTTCCAATTTTCTAGGAGGAAAAGGTTAACCGAACATTGGAGGAGATTCATTCGTCCTCTTATGTGGCGATGTAAGTGGATAGAATTGCAGCTTAAGGAATTTCAATCCCAGACACTGAAGTACGATAGAGAACTTGGAGAAATTGAACAAAGGAAGACGTTTGATCGTGAGTCATTAGTAGCAGAAGGTCATGAAGCAAAGTCAAAACCATTTTCTTCTTCGAATCCGAGGATGAAAGTCTTGAAGAGAAAGAAAAGAAAGAGATATGAAGAGATGAATGATATGACATCATTTATGTTGCAGAATAACATCATCTCCTATTATGGTGGGAACTTCTTTCCTGTTCTTGCTTATGTAGTCTCTATATCGTTTTTGTTGTTTTGGAAAGTAATAATACTATTGCACATAATCTTGTTTTATCCAGAACATAAGAAGACAGCCAATGATGGTGCTTCTATGGACGGTGATCCCACTCTTCCAGGTGAGAAGTCAAAGAATTGGTTCAACTTACTGGTGGTTATTCTCTTAGAGATAGAGTACCAAGGGCATGTTGCGGATTGTGTAGTGAATTGAGAATATAAAATGTCTAGAAGAACTATTGTTTAAACAACTTTAAAGATGAAAGAGGCTTGCAGGATCTTATTGTGCTTAAATAGGTTCTTCCCCCTTTTTTGCAGAGAGGGCAGGCAAAGCGGATCCAAAGTCTGCATTTCATCAAGAAGGATGGGCACCCTTACATTCTAAAGATGGGGTTGGCAGAGATGAAGACATCCTTATGAAAATTGGAGCTCTACAATCCCAAGTCCATAGGTTGAGGTCCCGAATCGATGTGGTGATGAGAGATAATCCAGGAAAGTTCTCTTATTTGACTAGGTTAACCTCGCCTGAACCAGATGATGTGTTGGCCTGTTCGGAAAACCCTGGTTCCTTTGTTGAAAATGGAGATAGAGCGGTTAGATCTCTATATCCTGTGGAAGATCATATACCTGGAATTCCAGTTTCAAGTCAGGGTGAGGCAGCCTCTCGTCCTCATATGCCAGAAACCCTAGATCGGCCTTCGGATGGGGCTCCTAGTGAAATTGTAAGTGTTCTTCTGGTAATGATTTCCTTGTCTTCTCTGCCACAAATAAAAGGTGTGTTTGTTAGGCTAAAGGACACTTTTCCGTATGACCTTTTCAAATTAATATTCACCATAACTCTCACATGCATCACTTAAATCTAAATATCAACTCACTAAAATATTTATTGATCTTTGTCCCTTTGAAATACAAATTGATTCTTGAAGTTATCTGTCCATTATAAGTATTTCCCATTAACTAAGCTATCTATCATCCACCTATTACTTTCTTACTACTAAAAACATATCTCATACTCTATCAACTAATCAACTTTTTCTAAGACCCAGCCGCAATAAACCCTGTAAAGTCTTGTACAACAAAGCTCATTGTCATTGCATCCTCTTAAATGGTGCTTTTGTCAATCCATATTTTTTATTTGCCACTCTCAATTTGCATGGTGGCCATCATAGGAAGCGGACTCTATGATTAGCTACTGATTTGGTCTTCCCTATTTGCAGAAGAACGAAGCTTTTGTGACTCTTAATCAACCAGCAAGGAAAGAAATTGCACAAGCTGTGGAAGACTTAGTGACTCAGCCCGAGGAGCAGAAGCCTGAGTTACCAACCGATGTGCAGACAGCAAGCAACCCGATTCAAGCAAGGGCTCCATTACTTCAGATGCACTACCCTGGGAAATCACTTCCTAAATCTCGGTCCAGGGTGGTGACCAGCAACAAGCGAAAACGTGGCAAGCGGAGGTCTGGACGAGGGGGATGGAATAGGAAACCTTCAACTGAAAAATGAAGAAGAATGGTTTTTTTACTTGGTGCATATGGTAATTGGTATATATATGTTAAAAGGAGTGAGCTTTTTGCCAAGAGGAGAAAACTGCTAAAAACCCATAGTCTCCCATCTGTTGATTTTGTATATGCTAGCAGCTGCATATTCTTCCTCTCATGTCTCTCAACCCTTGCTTGGTTCACTGTCTACTGCAACACCGCAGCGACATATGTATAATATAGCTTACATTCCTGTTCTATAGATCTGTTTTTCTTCTTCTTAGGCCTTTGTTACGTAGTGCTGAAAGTCGTGATGTAAACTGAATGGTGTATTGATTCTGAGACGTTAATTCTTTAGCTCTTCTGCCAAAGTGTTGAAACTTGGAAAGGGAAATTCTTTTCCTGGGGAAAGAAACAGCAGAGGATTCCTGTCTGCATGAAGCTAATCAAATATCTTCTTCCAAGGCAGGTATCAGATTTCGAAGTTCCATCAAAAAAATCTCAGCAGAAGAATGATTCCTTTCTTGCAGTGTACCAGCAATATGCCCATCTCCTCTATTGCAGTTTCTCCCTCTTTCCTTCACTGGTTATATAGCAATACGATCCATCATCAACATCTCCAAAGTCTGTAAACACATCTCCAGAAAATGGGGATGCTCATGAGTTCCCTGGGAAAAGGTATGACTTTGAGGTGCTTTCTGATTCTCGTTTCTTACAGCAATGCTAATTATCAACTTGCTCTTATAACTATTATATTTGTGGGTTTTGTGATTTAGGAGTGCCGTCGACGCAGATGATAGGTTTTGTGATGGGAACCCTGTACAAGCAATTTGTTGACAGAGACATCCAGTGCTTTGATGACTTCCATTTCGCCATTCTCGACATTTTCAAGTACCACCTCACAAATTCTCTCCTCATTCACCCTTTTCCTTTTCGCCCCCTTGCTTCGAAACTAGACCATATCTTCCTGTAATCTCTTTTTGAAACAGCTCTTTCAACTCAGCTTTACCAGGAAAGCACTACGATGCCCCCTCCCGAAAGGAAGTTGAGGTTTGTCTTTCCCTTCTCCTCTGTTTCCTTCTGCAGAGCAACCTTGCAGTGGAAGTCAATGGTTATGAATTGATTGCCAGATAACTTTGACATGGTGTTTTTCCATGAACGAGCAGGAATGTTTCCATGCGTGGACGGAAGCTGGAGATGGGTCGGCGAAGAAGGAGCTGTTCGTCGCGTTTATGAAGAAGAAGGTGCATCTGAGCAGACTAGACGACTCGACAATGGTGGCGGGGATAGTGACGCCACCAGCAGCCATGGCGGCCAAGAGAGCAGGCGAGAACGTGCCCCAGTTGAAGATGATCAAGTACATCCCGGACGTCATCTTTGTTCCATCGGCGACCGTTCTTGCCATCGTCACTGCTAAGCTCACCAAGAGGATGTTCCTGGGCAACTTTGCATCTTGAGAAAGATCATTCTGAGTTCTGGGATTTGTGTAATTGGTGTCAGTTCCGTGCTTATTTTGGATTTTTCGGCTTACAGACGAGGATGCAATCCAACTATTGATACATGCATTATTGTGGGTGAGCTATCAACAAAGAAAAGAGAATTCCACAACATAATTTGTGACAGATCAGTTACGTCTCAAGAATGCACTTGCGCTGCAAGGGGTTTTGATTTCTAAATCATAGTGCAATTTAGGGGTCGTTTGCTTGTTGGATTTGAAAAATGAAGGTTTTGTGCAACAAAAACCTTGGGATTCATGAGGGATTTATTGTATTATGGATTTGAAAAGTCTAGTGTTTGCATGATAGAATTGATAATGGATTTATGATGGATTTGTCACATAAGCAACTAACAACCATCATGGATTTACAAATCCCAAACAAATATGTGGGATTTACAAGTCCGTGGGGTCCACGGATTTGGTCCCAAATTAAAGACCAAATCCGTGGACCCCACGGATTTGATACCCATCAACAAACAATGGACTTGTGTTAAATCCATCAAACTTGGGATTTAGGTACCAAATCCATGACCCAAATCCAACAAGCAAACGACCTCTTAATTTCAGTTAGCATACTCACTACGATGGGAACTCTGCCATAATCTTCTTCATTGATTTTACTATGAAGTTGACTGTTACCGGTAAGTAACTTTTGCAAATCAAACCCTTAATTTTAAGGGGTGTTTCACAAACTTTGGAAATGTATTCTTTTAGAGTAACAAACAAACAGATACACAGGAGATCAATCATTGGAAAACCCCTCAAAATCTCTTAGATTAATAAAAGGAAGGGGAACTATTCATAGATTTATAATCAATCAAACCGTAGCAACGAATTCGAGGTTGATCTACATCTAACAAAATGCAAAAATGGAGTTCATAAAGAGAGAAGCTATGGGGACCTCCATCTTCAAGATATTCAAACTTTCAATTGAGAGATTTGCACCCCTTTCACCTTAGGGATGGCATTTCAGACCCGCTCTGAAAGGTATTCCCCGACTCGTCTCTTAATGGGGATTGGTTAAATCTATGAACTTAGACGTAAAGCTCTTATTTAAAGGGTCGTTTAGCTGAGAGATTTGGGTTGAGAGATTTACGAAGGATTTGTGCACAAATCTCTGATTTAAAAACCCCAAAAAATTAAATTGGTTATTTGTACAAATCACTTGAAAGTTGAAATTTCCCCAACTTTACAACCGAGTTATTCTGTTGAAATACAAGAGAATGAGTGAGTTGGGGAAAATGATCCCACCAAAAATCCTCATCCAAACGACCCCTAAGTGTTTATCTAACTTAAGTCGGAGTTCTCCTTGCAAATGAGGGATTTCACTAATTTGTATAGAAACTTGACGATTTCATGAGCCGCTCTCGACATTCTCTCTAAGTGCTCAAAATGATTATATATGTTTTATTTTCTTCGAAGTTGATAGCACAATAATTCCAATTTGGTACCTTCGCTAAGTTTGTGGATGAAAATTGTGATGGTGCAACTGAAATTGAACTTATGTAATTTAATTGCAACAAAAATGAGTTAGATAATTAATTAATGCGCAACGTACCCTATACTTAAGTAACATGACATGCATTTAACCATGCTTTTGTCATACTATAAGTTGTGGCATTCAATAAAAACTTATGGTCTCTGTCTCGGGCACTCGTGATTACAAATTATGACGTTATTTGCTTGACCCGAGCTTTCTCGTCCTCTTTGGACTTGAAATTCTCGACTCGCAGTATCATGAGATGGTGCATGGGTATTGCTTCCGACCTGTCATGCCTCGTTCTTGATCCGGTCTATCATTATTTGCATCAATATCAACAAATATTTATCATACGTTGACCTTTCTAAATCATATTTTCATCCTAAACAAATTTTAGAACTCTTTTTTCCAACTACCTAAACTCAATTATTTTTCAACTATCTAGACTCAATTACTTATTCTACTGTATTTCTCATTCATTTATAAAGTGAGTTTTTTTTGTTCTTGTAGAAGAGTTAAATATAAACTTTTTTCAAATAAGATATAATAATGGATCGAGACTCGTCTCGCCCATACCCATGCGGGTGTTACCCACCCTAGTTTGCGCTTGGTGCAGGGTGTGGAGGAGTATGACGATGCCACACGCTCATTGTCATCACTACCTGGCACAGGTTAGAACTGTACATAGGCGTTGGGCCGTGCTTGGGCCGGCACGGGCACGCTTCGGGCCCATTTATTTTGTGTCGTGCTTGGCACGGCCCGTCAGTTTTCGTGTCGTGCCATGCAAGCCCATTTGTTAACTTTGCTAGGCCCGAGCCCCGTTTGAATCGTGTCGTGCCTATTCGTGCTCGTGCCATACTCGTATTCGTGTTTAGTGAAAAGGACGAAAACAAAGAGAGAATGAAAAAGAAGGTGAAAATTGGCCGGGGGAAGATAGTATTAACCGATAATGTTTGAGAAAAGTAACAAATACGGGGGAAAAAGAAAATTGGAAGTATAGCGAGTGTGATTTGGCTTTGTTTAATTCTTTGTCCATTTTTACTTATGTTAGTAATTACGTATATATCTTTATGACACTTCTAATAACAGCAAATAATTATTTTTCTACTTGTGTTTTGTAATATTTGAATCTATAATTCTTTTTATATTTGTTTTCTATCAAATAAATATTATTTTCATACCATGTCCGTTCTTATACTCAATAAAGTCTCAAAAATATTAGGCCCGACATGGCCCACTTATCTACCGTGTCGTGCCCGTGCTCGTGCCCATGAAGTTTAGGCCTGGCACGACCCATAAACTATTCGTGCTCATGCCGTGCTCTAATCGTGCCGTGTCGTGCTAGCCCGTGGGCGGCACGGCCCGGTGCCCACGTACAGTTAGAACACACGAAAAACCGGTCCAAATGGGGTCGAAGAGGTACCGGCCCAGTTACAATCAAATACACACACATTCCTAACCCGGATGTCACCCAAAATAAGAACTTTCACTTTGGGTTAGAAATGGCAATGGGCAGGTCCGGGGCGAGTATCTCGATACCCATACTCGTCCCATGGCAGGTTGAGTCCAGGTCGGGTAATTTATTACGGGGCGCGGATCGGGGCAGGTCAACCCAATGGCTATGTAGTTTATTTGAAAATATTAGAAATATTCGTTATTTTCATTAAAAGACCAAGAAAGAAACTATAATATGATAACTTCTAGTTAAATTATTGAAAAAATTCATGTTTTCACTTAATTGCAACTTTATTATAGCTAAAATATAATGTAATAAGAGGAAAATCCTAAGTAATTTGACTAAGATTATATGTAATTTAGCCAAGAACGAATCGAGAATGGGACGGGTCAGGGCAGATCAGGTCGATGAGAAGTACCCGCCCTGCCCCGCCTACAGAACGGATCTAACCCGCCCAAAACAGACCAAACAGATCAGATAAATCGGGTCAGGTCAAAATTCTCATCCAAACTTGTTTGGGTAGTCAAGAACGAAGAGGAGAACAGCCGCACAGGAAAAGACGATCTCAAGTTTTGGGAAAGGCCGAAGAGAGTAAAAGCAAAAGCAAAAGCAAACATGCAGCACCGCCTGCCTCCTTCCAACAATTTTCGTTGCCACTTAATCTTCCAATTTAGATCCAGAATAACCCCTTCGGCCATCTGTTCTGTTTATTCCAGTACACCATTTTACAGCAGAGAAAGAGAAAGAAAACTACAAATTACGACAGAGGATAGAAACATACAGAGAGCTGTAGTAGTAGTAGTAGTAACAGAAGTAGACTATTGTTGCTGGGGCGATGACATGGGAAAACGAAAGGATGGTTGGAATTGGAATTCTGATAATCGAATATTGTTTAAGGGCACTTGGGCCTGCCCCTGTTGTCCCTCATGTCCCTGTAGCAAGGGCACTCCGATTTATTGCCGTAGGTGCCAGAAGGTACGCAGGTTCTGCACTTTGTACAGCAGACGTTGCAGTACTTGACGCACCTCTCCTTGTACCCTGCTGTCTTGCATCTCGCCTCGCACTTGGAGTCGCACACTCCTCCTACTGCATTTTTTTTTTGCAATATGTGTCATTCTAAATTAAATCAGTTGCATGGCTGCAATTAATCCAGAGTAGTAGAAGCACACAGCAGAAGTACAGAATATGAAAGACAGGAAACGTATGTATGTACTATGTTCGATCTTGTGGAATATACCTGGGGGTGATGGAGTATAAGCAAGAGAGAGCTGGAGGAAAGAGGAGGCAACCACCATTGAAGTTAGCAGCAGAGTTGGTAACAAAAGCTTCATTTTTTCTTCTTCTTCTTCTCTCTGGTTTCTTATTCTGCTTTCTGGGGTCTGTTGTGGGAGAGTGCAGGCATGATTTATAGTGCTACTGTTGGGGATTGTTGGGAGTAGGAATGGCAATGAGCAGGTCCGGGACGGGTTTTTTGGTACCCAGACCTGCTTCGTGACAGGTCGGGTAATTGATCACGGGTCACGGGTCGGGACAGGTCGACCTAATGGGTATGCAATTTATATGAAAAATATTAGAAATATTCATTATTTTTATTATAAACTAATAAAACAAACAATATTATGACAATTGTAGTTAAATTATTGGAGAAATTGAGGTTTTCACTGATTTACAACTTTATTATAGCTAAAATATGATGCAATAAAAGGAAAATCCTAAGTAATTTGATTAAGATTATATGTAATTTAGACACAAACAGGTCGAGAATGAGACGGGTCAGGACAGGTCGGGTCGATGAGACTACTCATGCCCGCCCCGCCTACGGGGCGGGTCGGACCCGCCCAAAACAGGTCAATCAGGTCGGTTAAAACGGGTCAGGTCGAAATTGCCATCCCTATTGGGGAGGGTTTGTGGCCTAAATATGGAGAGGGATACAGGTAGGGATGGCAATGGGTAGGGTCGGGTGCGGGTTTACCCTATACCAACTCCTAACCCGCCGGGTAGAGCTTTCTAAAATACCCGACCAAATAACCACCGGGTATGAAAATTATATAATCATACCCTACCCACCGGGTAACCACGGGTATTCGGGTAACCATGGGTACGAATCCTAAACTATGAACTTATACACATATATACTGTTGTCCATTAAAAATTCTCAATACTTGTAACTGTTCTAGCTTCAACAATCCACACAAATAAAAACAGCAAACACATAATAATTGTTCTTGCTTCTACAATCCACAAAAACATAATAATCGTCTACATCTTCATCATCAATAATGGTAGCTAAACTCAATTTCTCAAGCTAAAATAAATTTCTCAAGGGAAAATGACCCTTTGGTTAGCGGGGCGGGTATAACGGGGTGGGTATTATCGATTACCATACCTGTACCCTACCCTTTATTTTGAAACCGGGTATTACCCGTACCCTCCCCTTAACCCGTCAAAGCGGGTAATTACCCTCGTTGACCGGTTACGGTCGGGTAGGGTACCCATAATTACGGGTTGGATTGACATCCCTAGATACAGGTGGGCTTATGGCCCAAAGACCAACAACAACAAAAAAAAAAAAGTGCAAAAGACACACAGCTTTAATTGATGATTAAGGTTTTTGACCTCTTGCTGGATACTTGCAAAAAAAATGGAGGTTTATGATGGCAACCTTCTGCTTGTTACAGTGCTTTCCAATTCAATTCATAATCATGCCCTAGCTATATTATAATTATTTTATTCGGAATAGAGAAACATTCGGATGACAAATTCAGAAATTCTAAGTGAATTGAAATTAAAAAAAAACCTAAGCTTTTGTCTTCATTTGCTGGTGCATGTACCTGTGCATATATATAATAAAGCTACGGTGGTCATATGTAGCACAATATATTCATGTATTTGAGAAGCTATGTATGGAACTAAGTGCTGTCCGAAATTGGGAAAAAATCTCAAGTTACACATGTTTTTAAAAAAAATTCTCAAAATACAAACGTTATGAAAATAATTCCCAATCTACGTTAGTTTGGGCCATCACCGCTGTCGACGAAGACAGTGATTGCATCACTGTTGTCGACGAAGACAGTGATTGCATCACCGCTTTCGACGAAGACAGTGATTGCATCACCGCTGTCGACGAAGACAGTGATTGCATCACTGCAGTACACGGCCGCGGTGAAGGCCTGACCTGCGTCGAAACTTTAAACAAACGTAACTTTGTGCTCGGTTATCCGATCGTAGCGAAATTTTTTTTGATTCCGCATAATTTTTCGAGATCTTGCAAGCCGCAAATGGCCATAGGAGGTTTGTTCCCGCCTTCGTCTCCAAAATATGTCGTTTGCTACCCCGAACGAGCCTTTTTTCGATTTCGTCAAACTTTGAATGACCATAACTTTGTGCTCCACAATCCGAAAATCATGAATTTTTTTTGATTTCGCATAACTTTTTAAGGACTAAAATATTTAGTAGGAGAGAATTTGCAAAAAATGAATTATTTATGGATATAAGGGGTTTTGGGAATAACTTTACCTTCCTTTTCAGGAATCCAAGTACATTTCGAAAATATGTCTATGATAAAAATTGTAGTCCTTAAAAAGTTATGCGAAATAAAAAAAAATTCATGATTTTCGGATTGTGGAGCACAAAGTTATGGTCGTTCAAAGTTTGACGAAATCGAAAAAAGGCTCGTTCGGGGTAGCAAACGACATATTTTCGAGACGAAGGCGGGACCAAACCGCCTACGGCCATTTGCGGCTTGCAAGATCTCGAAAAATTATGCGGAATCAAAAAAAAAATTGCTACGATCGGATAACCGAGCACAAAGTTACGTTTGTTTAAAGTTTCGACGCAGGTTAGGCCTTCACCGCGGCCGTGTACTGCAGTGATGCAATCACTGTCTTCGTCGACAGCGGTGATGCAATCACTGTCTTCGTCGACAACAGTGATGCAATCACTGTCTTCGTCGACAACAGTGATGCAATCACTGTCTTCGTCGACAGCGGTGATGACCCAAACTAACGTAGATTGGGAATTATTTTCATAACGTGTGCATTTTGAGAATTTTTTTTAAAAATATGTGTAACTTGGGATTTTTTCCCCGAAATTGCAGACCACATATGGGTAAATTTGTCGGGGAGTGTAATTACTGATATCGATACAGCCTGCGAGCTGTCATCCATAGTTCCATACATACAAACATAAGACCGATCGATCTACTTCCTGCAAGCTGCCATTCATGATCCATCAACCGTCTCAATTCCCAAGGTTTTTTTTTTTTTTGGTTTCCTGGGGATGGAATTGTGCAGAGTTCATTGAATACGGGACTTAAGCAGAGGGATGCTAACACCATCTAATGCGTCTTTGTCAGTTTTTTTTTTCTTTCGTAAAGTCAGTGTTGAAATAAAGTCATAAGGAGGAAGAAAGAAAAGAGCGAGAGTCGACCAATAGTCGAACTCTCGATGAGAGGGCCTTTGGTGTCACATGATGGGCAGCCCTATTGAGTTGACGGGACACAAAACAGTAAGAGATACTGCTAAACTATGAAGACAAGCTCTTAGCATCCGCCAAAATAGCACCTCCCCGATCATGATGCAAATCACCTCGTACCATCCGTCGGATTAAAAGTTGAGAGTCCCCATGCAAAGAAACAGCAAGAAAAGAATGGGTTAGACACCACTCCAAGGCATCACGCAAGGCTAAACATTCCATAATAAATAGATCTTGAATTCCATCATAATATTTGTCAAATGCAAAGAGCACAGTACCTGTCTCATGGAAACCTACGAAACCGATACTACCTCCTGGCCGCCCCATCAAACCAAACATTAATAATGGGAGAAATTCCAGATGTCAGGGATGGCCCAACACGAGCTGATGAGTAGTCCTACGATGAGACTGAGGTGGAGGTGCCTGAGTAGCCTCCCTCCACTCGTCCACTTGGCGTCGATACTGCCGAAATAATGCATGAGGGAGATACTACATGTGATCGTGAACCGCCCAACAACGTCCCTTCCAAATAGGACAAATAGTATCAGTAACAAGCGTTTTAGTGAACAACACTATCTGTAGAGCCAAGAAATCACGAACAGCCCGCCAAAGGAAGAACTTCAATTTGAGTGGCACAAGAATACTCCAAAGCAGCTTCCAAAAATTTGAATCAAAAGGTAGTGCCGCCGGGGCGTGAAGAAGGTAGTATTCAGATGACAGGAGATGATACCTGGTATTAACGGTGTAGATGCCTAATTCTTTTTCTTGTGTACAATTTTAATAGAATAACATATTATGAGTGCGTTCATTTGTAACCTTTTTAGCTTATTTCAACAAATGTCGTGAAAAAAATTAGACATAAGTTGAAGTAAATCAAATTTTATTAAATTCAAACAACATTGGTGAATTTTGATACTTTTCACGTTGATTTATTCGTTTGAAATTTTAATTAGTTATAAAATATTTTTATTGTAACACCCAGCTGCTTTTCTCCATTTAAAAAAAAATCCCATAATAATGTATGCACATCGTCAACTATTTACCCAAAATCCTCAAACTCTTGGTTCATATTTTTTTTTTCTGGGAAAAACCCTTCTTCAAATTTCCCGTTGAAAACATTGTGGAGAGTTCAGCATTCCGCCCACCTCATCGATGTCAAACTCTACCTTGCTTTGTCCCATGGCCTTCACCCACTTTAGCTATTCATCTGGGAAAAATATTGACGGGGTGAGACGTCACTCAATGAGTAAATAATAACCTAATATAAATATTAATACGAAAATGATATCGGGCTATGTTGGTGATTCGTAGTGTCTTCCGTCCATTATACTCGATGTACATCTAATCACTTAATAACTTTACTTAGGTCTTATCTATGTAGATTTATACGAAATTTCGTCCCACGTTCATTCGATCTATCACATATACGTTATGGGTCATTTGTATATGTTATATATCCTTCGTTTAAGGTTTCTCCTTTACTTTACCTTACCTGGTGTTGCATACGGTTTGTATTTATTCTTGTATCCCATACGACAATTTTCCTTCATATTTTACTCTTCTATTAACACGTATAACATCAAGGGATGTATTGTAGACACATAACATTATACACGTCGATATCTCATGGCACTATCATAATGAAATTAATATATCATTACTACTTATGTCATAGTTTCCTGATCAATCGTTGTACTACTCATCATAGGAGATCATCAAACATGTACCTCATATCATTTGATATGACATATAAAACACATCAACCTTCACATACCACATGTAAGAGTTCACATTCTATACCTCAAATATGGCAAATATTAAGATTGCCATCTCAATCATATATCACATAAAGATGACAAATATCAAGCTTGGCATTCACATATTCATGTTGCATCCAAAATCAACAATGAATCAGCATCCAATCACACACATACATAT